TTTTTGGTCAGTCGTGGGGCCTGGGTGCTGTCCCTCAGCTCTTCAGCTCAAGGCTAGTGCTCTGCCACTTGAGCCACAGTGCCACTTCCAGCTTTTTCTGCTTATGCTGAGGAATGGAATCCAGGGCCTCATGCACTCTACCACTGAGCCACCTTCCCAGCCCACCATTATAGTTTTAAAAAATTTACTTTATTGTTGCTATAAAGGTGACACGCACAGGACTATAACCCCTTCCCTCACTCTCTCCTAGCTTCTCTCCTACTGCTTCCACCCTCGAGTTGTAGAGGTCACTTTATCAGTGTTCAGTGAGCTCCACATTGAGTTCTGGACCTTTCCCCCACCATCCCGAAGATACACACATGAATATGTACATAAAGAAAAGAAGGGCTGGGAATGTGGCTTAGTGGTTGAGTGCTTGCCTAGCTAGCATGCTTGAAGGCGTGGGTTTGAGTGCTCAGTACCACATAAACAGAAAAAGTTGGAAGTGGCATTGTGGCTCAAGTGGTAAAGTTCTATCCTTTAGCAAAAAGAGCTCAGGAACAGTGCTTAGGCCCTGAGTTAAAGCCCCGGGTCTGGAAAAAAAAAAAAAGGATCATCAACAGAATTTTTTTTTTAAAGGCAATCTCCCTACCTTGGAGTTTGTTTTGTTTGATGTGTGTGTGTGTGTGTGTGTGTGTGTGTGTGTGTATGATTTATATATATTATTTTATATAATAAATGTAGGGAGGCAGGTAGGCTTTGTGCCTTTGTGGGTCTCTGCTGAGAATGTCCTCTTGGACCATTTGGACTTTTCAAGAATGTTTTGATAAGACACTGAGAGTGGTCTGGTGCTGGAATATTCTGGGCATTCCTTCTAAACCATTAATATTCCAATACTGCAATTGGCAACATTTTGATTCTGAGGAGGGTGCCCGAGTTCAAGGTCAGAGAGATTGACTTGTGCTGTTCATTATAGCCAATTATTCTGTGACAAATGAGTTTGAGATCAGGCTGAAAATTCTCTACGAAAAATCAATAGTTCTAATCAGGGCCTTTCAGGACATTTACACCCCACCTTTTGTTGGTTTGTCAGGGAAGAGCCAGATAAAACCCATGTGACAGTGGGGCCTTGCTCCTGTTGCCATTCCTATTTGAAACATTTTGATATCTTAAATGGATAGTTTAATTGGTTTCAAACTTGTAAATTAGTGGAAATTTGCATTATTTCGTTGCTGGTATGCTGATAAGGGTTTCCAAATTAGCTTTAACTGTAGTTTTTTCCCCTTCCCAGAGGAAGGAATTATACTTAGCCTTTAGGAAGATTTTGAAGGCCTTTCAAATACTAAATTGAAAGGTTTGTGGGTTTAAGTCTCTGCTTAGTTTGTCCAAACAGATTGATCTTCTTGCTACATGTAGCAAGGTAAAATTGTGCATTTTTTATTTCAGTTTCCTGATGAAGATGAAGAAACAAGGTTATATCGCTTAAAGATAGAAGAGCAGAAGCGCCTGAGAGAAGAAATCTTGAAACAGAAGGAGCTACGACGGCAGCAGCAGGCTGGTGCCAGGAAGAAGGAGCTGCTGCAGAGACTTGCACAGCAGCAGCAGCAGCAGCAGCAGCAGCAGCAACTGTATGCTCCACAGGCTCCCGTGGAGCAAGAGGAGCAGGCGGCCGCACCCTCACCCACCAATGGTAACCCCCTGCTGCCTTTTCCAGGTGCCCAGGGCAGGCAGAATGTGAAAACTAGACTTCTTGTTAAAAACCAAGATGTTACTATTGCAAATGTTCAGCCGAAGACATCAGACTTTGCCCCATGTGGTGCTAATGTGCAGTATCCAGGACAGCAGATGAAACCACTGAAGCAGTTGAGGCCTGCTAGAACAGTACCTCAGAGTCAGGCCCAGTCGCCGCACAGAGTACTCCAGATCAAACCTGTGGACGTGGAGGAGCAGCTCCCCCAACAGGTGCCCCGAGCAACACCCCTCCAAGGCCGGCCACAGGACATGAAGCCAGGTGTGAAGAGGACTGTCATGCACAGGGCCGGTGGCGGTGGTGGAGATGGACCGCATGTCAGCTCCAAAGTCAGGGTGATCACGTTGTCAGGGGGGGTAAGTGGACAAGTTTTTATGTGCATCTCTTCACCTGTTTGCTTAGACGGTCCTGCTTCCCACAGAAAAAGAGTTAAAAACAGGCTGTATGAAAAATCCTGTAGACTACCCTTTATTCTTGGAAGGTGGTATCCTAATTGTTATTTAATTCTGGTTCACTCTGGAACCCACATTATTTCTGTTGTCTCTTGAGTCTTACTGAAAGGCCAACGTGTCATACTACAGTTATATATTTCCTAGTTTTACCTTTTTGTAGATTGTTTATGATAAGTTGTGATGAACAAATCTGTGGTAACAAATTCAACAAACTTGAACTATCGTGTGTGTTGTAGAAATAAAATTGCCTTTTACACAAAGCACATAATCTGTGGTGTGTAGAATTAGATTCAGTGAGCCCCCAGAGGCAGAGTGAACAGAGTGGCAGGGTAGCGTGCACACGTGAGTGTGTGTGTGTGTGTGTGCGCGCGCACGCGTGTGTGTAGTTCCACTTTTAGGCAGCGTTGTCTGAAGGCTACCTTTTTTTCTTTCAAGGAGTAACAAAATCCTACATGGGAAGCATGTGTGGTTTTGCCACATGCTTGTGATGGGTGTATGCTTGTCTGTGCCTCGTTCCTTTCTTCTTCACAGCACCATTTTAGCTCATGTTTATAAGGCATACAAATTGTGGGTTTCTGCTGTAGTTCAGGCAAGTTCAGCTCTCTAAAATAATAAATCATTGCAGATAGATCCCATTTCCCCAGCAAGGTGGGGTACAGAGTACTTGCTGCCTTGTCCTGCCCGATAATCTTACTTAGTAACTTAGTGAGTTACTTAGTAAGTAACTCACATCTTTTGCCCTAATTACAATGAATTCTGCAACAAGGAATACATGTTCGTGTGTTGTGTGCAGATTCCACTATAAATTGAGGAAGAAAGAGGAACACTGTAAAGAGGAGCTTTTAGATGAAGCCAGCTAGTAGAGATTGGCCTAAAACACAAAAGAATAACCTTGTTAATTCTAATTTTGGTCGTACCAATACATAATCTTAATAAGGTAATAATAGAGCAAATGTAAAGGATATAAAATATGTACCTGTCTAAACTTACTGAAGTCATCTCTCTGTATTCTGCGTGATTCAGCCCAGAGGTAGGAAGTACATTAAGCCCTTGTTCTGGGGCCTCTGCTTTGGCCCATAAAAAATGGCGTAGTCGTGAAGATGTCTGGGCAGCTGGTCACTTGGCTGCATGAACCATTGTTCACCAGTGGGGTGAGCACCCATCTCCTCTGGGTCTGGGTGTGGGGCTTTGTGTCAGGGCACCCTCCTTTGAGTGTGAGGGAGGAGGAAGTAGCGGCCTGAGAGCAGCCATCTAGTGTGTGCTCCAAGAAAAGGAAAGCAGACATTTTGCTGATCAAGGTAATGAAAATTTTAGAAATTTGGCAGCCAATGAAGCCAACAGTCCTTTGTTCTTTGGGCCGCGTAGAGAAGTCTGAGAGCCAGGGGATGCCCTGGCAGGAAAGCCAGCTGTCCAGTCAGAATTCTCTTGTATTTCATCTTTTAAAAGCCTGTCATAATGATGCCTCTAAAAGTCCCCATTTGCACTGGGGGAGCTCACTTTGCAAAGTGAGACTGAATTTGTGGCTTCTCACCGTCTCAGCAGGTACTCCTGGATTTTCTCTAGGGAGGCAGTGCATATGAACCCCGTCTCCTTCGTGAGCTTTACTTCGTTGTATCTTCAGTTAAAGAGAAGTTGTACAAGCCGCGTGAGGAGCTCCTGGTGCCTTAACCGTCTCACCTGGTGTTTACATCTGACACGCGTGCTGTGTCCTCTCCTTTTGCCCTTACACACAAATGCACATGTGTTTTCCTAGACTGTGCTCGAGTAGGTGGGCAGGCAGAGGACCTGTGCTACAGAACCACACTGGAGTTGCTGTTTGTCAGGGCCCGGAAGCCCCACCCCAACACAGGACTGTTGCCTAAGGCAGTTGGTGCAGCCAGGGCCAGCCTGGCTTGCCCTGTTTCTGATCCCCTCCAGTCTGGATCCGTTCTCAACCTTTTATTGTGTTTTTTGCCCTTGACATTTTGAAAGAGCAGACGCTTGTGTACTTTAGGTTTTCCTTTTGCTCCTCTTGACCAGTTTTAGGTGTGTGCGTTTGGCCGGATGGCTACAGAAAGGATATGGTACCGGCCTCCGTGTGCCAGGCCGGTGCCTTGTCTAGGTTTGCCAAGAGGACTGTCCCTTAAGTGGTTGAGAGAGGTGTGCTGTGGCTGTGAGCACCCCTCGTCCACACTCCTACCTTCAGCTTGCCGGGGCCCATACTCCTTCCAAGCTTACCAGCTGCTGGGCTCCTACTGTGCCAGTCTGGTCTGCTTACTCTGTTTTATTCAGAGGACTGCACTGTCCTTAATGACTGGAGTGGCCCGCCAGCCTCTGCCTGCTGGCACTGCGTCCTTTCACATCCAGCTTGCCTGTGAGCCAAGTGGTTCCTGTGCAGCCTGTCCCTTCTCTGCCTAGCCCTGGGACCAGCTGCCTCTTGGAGGCTCCAGCTCCCTCTAGTGGGAGCTGTGTGCATCAATGTCCCGTGCTGTGACAAACTGAGGTGATGAACTTGAAAGGTTTATTTTATGGGTTCTGTACACGGCCCCTGAGCCTCATCTCTCTGTCCGTGGTGGCATCATGCATAGTGGTGAACAGCTGGAAGGAAGTCATGCGGGTGGAGGAGGGGGCCAGCTTCCCAGTAGCCCCTTAGAACACGCTGCTGCTAACTACTTTCCTTCCACCAGGCCTCACCTCCTGAGGCCCTACCACTTCCTAACACCCACGGCTGGGGACCATGCCTTCACACATGACCTTTGGAGGGCCTCTGAGACCCAGAGCATCATTTCTCTCAGCAGAATTCCCTTCCCTCGCTCCTTCCTCTCCTTTCCTTCTGAATTGCAAAGCGCCAGGGGTCCTGCGCTCTGTGGATTGTTTTGTCTGTTACTGTGAACCTGGTCATGGCGTGAGTCTTGGTCATTGGTATTTATAGATGCAGAGGGCTTGTGAAACCTTGTGCTTTGTCAGTGAGCAAAATGCAGAGCAGCTGATGGTGAAGGAAAGATCTTGGGGCCTTCTCCTACCACCTGCTGAGTACACAGCCTGTGCTCTGGGTTCAGTCCCACATTCCTCAGTCACCTAAGGAAGAAGAGTTGGTACCAACCCCGGTGAGGTGTGTTCATAATCTACGGGACAGCTGTGTCCTTAGGTATCAAAACAAATGATCTAGGTTGAGGCAGTCTGCATTGGTATTGCTTGAGCTGATACCAAAGTAGGAACCTGTTGTTTGTTGAGTTCTATAATGAACCAAAGTGGGTATGGGCTATGAATATATAATAACTAGGTAAAAACAGAGGAGATGATGTGTGAGTAGTGTAGATTCTGAATGGAGAGGAAGAGATGACTGGGTCAGGGAAGGAGACAAGGTTGGAAGGGGCTTTCCAGGAAGAAAGCGGAGGCCCCTGCAGCTGACTGCAGTAGTTCTCAATTGAAGAGAGGCAACTTGACTGAGGTACATGGGGAGGTCTGGAGCTAGGCCCTCACAGTAGCGCTGGGTCATTGTTAGAACAGTGCCAAGCCCCTGGAAAGTTCTGGCAGAGGGATCATGGGGACAGAGTCAGACCCCCGCAGTGTGTGAGTTAGTCTATTCTTGTTTTTAGGAGACAAAAGATTTATGAGTTATTATTTGCAGGCCTTGTTTTAAGTTTTAACCTGAATGTTAGTATGCAGAAAGAATACTGAGCATTGAGTTTAGAGGCAAAGAGAAACATTCATTCATTTTATCCTTCTGTCCTGCAAATCTGCAAATCATCTTAACATTTTGGGGCAACTAAAAAGGAGTTTGGGGATGTAGTTTCTCGGCAGTTTATGTATGCTAGGTTGGGATTCGCTACTTTGTGACCTTTTGCTCACTTCTCTGTGTCATGTTTGCAGCCTGGGGCCCTGTGGCTGGCACTGTGTCTTACAGCCCAGCTCTGCAGGGCTTCTGGCATCCAGCACATCACACGCCCTCTGCCCTTGCCGCTGTCTGCAGACCTCGGACTCCTGCTTACTGCTGCTGCTTTGAAGGGACTGTGACCTCCCGTTCCATGTTTGTCTATAGAGTTGGGGTCACGTTCAAGGACGATATAAGTACTGAGGAATCAGATATTAAGCTAACAACATCCACATGGTTCACCATTTCTTCTGTCAAAGCAGCAGAGGGAGAGACTTCTGAGGATGAGAATAATGGTTGTTTCTGTAGACCTTCATATGAAGAAGGAAGTGAGCAAAACCTGGGGGAAGAAAAACAAGTAACATTAATTTTTATTAGTAATTACTTCTGCCATGCTGTCATACAAAAAAAAAATGTTTCCTCCTCAGATTGCTTTCTTTGAATTGTGGCGTTCCTGGGACTGAGTTAAACAGCCTGTTGCTTTCTGTTTGGAAGTATGAAGGACAGGGCTGAGGATAGAGTTCTGGGAGACCAGTTGTGAAGGGAAACTGTGTGTGTGTGGGGGGGCAGAGGCAGCCAAGTTGGTGCAGGGCAGGCCTCTGTGGTGCACAGTCCCCTCAGACCACTTCAGCAGGCCCAGTGGGTAGGGAGAGCTGGAGCAGGCAGGCCTCCTGGAGCCCCTCTCACCCATGAGTGAAGGCCATGGTTGGCAGGTGCAGGCATCGTGCCGGTAACCTCCGCGTGTGGAGGGCCCACCGTTAAACTCCTGGTGATCCTTTTTCTTTTTGAGGGGAAAGTTGTACTTTACAGATTGAAAAGTCCTGGGCTGTCAGATCCCCGCAGAGACGCAGGACTTTGGTTTGTTCCTCCAGAAACCAATGAACTTTGCTTTTTCTCATACCTAACTAAGCTCAGAAAGGCATATTGTTATAGGAGCAAGCAGGGTTCTCTCTGTGCTGTAAGATCAGACAGATGTGCAGAGGAGCCTTTCCCTTCTGAAGCCCAGCAGTTAGGAGCCCATCTGCCTCATGAATTTGGCTCCTCCGTGGACTGTGATAGGCAGGGGCAGATAGAGGCAAGATGGCATTGTAGCTTTCCATTGTGTCTGTGTTGGCATGCTTGCCGTGATTCAGAGAATAAGCAAGCATTCCCTGCTGAAGAGTCTTCCCATCCCACCCAGAGGCGTGGGTAGAGAGCTAGCCTGGGACCTTGGAGAGAGCTAGTTTCCTTCCTCTTAACTTAGCCAACCGCAGCAAGAAAAGAGAGAAACCTTAAATGTGTTTGTGTTTGGAAACGTGATGTGGCTTGCATATCATTTCCTGTGCAGATTCTGACCGAGCGTCACAGAGATGGCCAGGATAGGCCCCGCATTGTTGTGGCTAATGGAAACCTGTGCGGTGAGCGCTGTGGCTGTGTGATCAGCAGACTGCGGTGACAGGGAAGTGTGGCGTTATCGGACGGGGAATTCATGAGAGGCTGCCCTGGGACACCACACCACTGTCCTTCTGTGTGTCCTGACAATGTTATCTGTCCTCTCAGCACCGAGTATCAAATGTCTGTCATGAGTACAGAAATTAATTTAATGTCACCTGAAGACATGCAATTAATCTTTTAGAGGTTTTCATAATACCTTTACAGAAAGAGTTGCCAGTTTGGCGGATTTGGATTTTGGGGTTTAGAAGAAGATAAGGAAAATTAATTTTTCATCAGGGTTAATACAAGCTAGCAGGGCCATAAAGGCTGAGGAAAATGGTTGGGGAATTTGTCAAGTGTTGTCACTCCAGAATAATGCTGCTTAATGCCTGATAGGTATAATCAAGGGTTGAGATTTCTATGGAGAGGGATTAATCAATTTGCTTGCTACTGAATGCAAGTCAGTGATATCACTCTTCGTGGGGTTTAAGAATGAAAATAAGATTTGATCTGTCAAATTGCAAGAAGCCCTGACAGTATCAATAGGCATTTTTATCTGTACATTTAAGCCATTTGTTATAAATAAATTTGTCCTGCTAATGTTGGTGGCTACCAACCTCACTTTTGTGATGATTAAGTTGATAAAAAGTATCCCCTGAGCTTACTTAAATTCAGATAGTGCTTTATAGACAGCAACAAAACAAAACAGTAGTCCAAAGAGACATTTCTGTTGTATTCATTAAAAGACAATTATTTGTGGGAAAAGCCAACCAGTATGTTTCAACTGTTGACTAAGGTTGGCCCAGTTTCTTTCCTCCCATCTATTTTGGAGAAAGTGGAAGATTATTAAAATCACACCGACACAAACTGCTGTGTTAGAACTAATTATGGGTACTTTTATAGTGCTGTTGCATAGGTTTGGTTTGGTTCACATTCCGCTTTTTGTCTGTGACTGTATGGACACTGATGTGAAGGTGTGTTTGTTCTGGGTCGCAACCTGTTAGCTTATGGACTGCCCATGTCCTAGAGTTAACTCAGGAATTCACGGTGTTTCCCTATAGTTTAGTTTTTCATTGCTCTCAATTGGAATGAGAAATGAAATTTTCTGACAAAATAAAATAACTTGTTGGTTTGTATCGAAGCCTTTCCTACTTGGCATACTCTTCAGTTAAAAGTCAGAGCGCACTGCCTAACCGCGATGTAGTTGAAATGATGTCATGCTTTATTTTGTTTCAGTTCCTGTTTAAAGTGTGAGTGTGAGCTCCTTCTGAGGCGGGAGGCGGAGTGGGGGCATGCCTGTGGAAGCATTCTAAAAAGGCTAGGAAGGTCTCTGAAGATTTCCATGATCAAAAATGTTGTAACATTAAAAAACATGGCGAGTTTCTTGTAAGAGCTGAGATGGTTGGTCCTTTTTTACCCTTCTTTAGTGTAACTGCGGTAATTCCTTAAGTTACGGTGTGCTGTGTTTTTGTTTAAATTTACTTTTGTTTCTCTTAAATGCTTTCATTTCTTAGCCTGGCTTCCTAGGGGCTGGCCTTGTGCTGCCTACCTCATTGTCCAGCGGTGATCAGAAAGAGCCTTCACTCAGGTCTCTGGTCTGTGCACAGCCCCGTGACCGGTGACCTGTGGAGGCTGCTGCTCTTGCTCTTGCTCCCCACAGTCCCCTGTGAGCTGAGCGAGAGCTGTGTCTGGCCCTTCTGTGACTCTTGCCGTCCAGAATTTCCTCATCGGGTCTCTGTTTTGTGGCCGACGCGCCGCTTGTTCCAAAGCAAGACCCACAGGCTCTTAGGCCCTGTGGGACGGCCGCATTCGTGGTGCACTCTGGTCCTCCCGTCAGTGAGTGCTCCTCCTGTGCTCCCCTTGCCCGAAATGGTGGCTTGGGCAGTGTTACCCAGTTGTGTCCTTGTTTGGAAGACCAGACTTGGCACTTTTCTAACATTGCCATCGCCACAAGTTATGCCCCCTTTGACAGTTTGGTTTTTTTGCAGTCAGTGTTTGTTTGCTTCAGAAGCTTTTCACTAAACCGGTCCCCTAAAGATAAGCTTGGAGGTTATCATGGCCCACTTTCTGTGAGTGAAAGAACACTTCAGACTGGAGCTATATGTGGTTGATAATACACTTCTGTAACACTAGTTACTCGGGGGTGCCACATCGGGAGGATCGCAGCTCAAGGCCAGCCTGGGCCTCAGCAGACAATCCCAGCTCCGTGGAAGTAGGGAGGTAGGACTGCAGTTAGAAGCCAGGATGGGCAAACTATTTGTGAGACCCTATCTCAACAGACAAGCTGGGTGTGGTGGCTCCCTGACCGGTGAGGGATTCTGCCACGGACTCAGGTGAAGCGCCCAGTTTGGTTTGGTTTGTGGGTGAGTTCTGCCTCATGGTTGGCACTGGGCAGACACTGATCCACACACTGCCTTGTTGGTTTCAGCAGGGAGGAGAGAGCGATGGCTTTTTCCATCCCGAGACCCAGGCCCAGCGGCTTCCTCAGCCTTCGGAAGTGAGACCGCAGCCCGCCCGCAAGGTGACGCTGACTAAGGGACCCCCCCAGCCACCCCCGCACCTGCCAGCGGGGCCGCACACGCACTCAGCTGTTCCTCCTGGGATCAAAAGCATCCAAGGCATTCACCCGGCCAAGAAGGTACTGCGTTCATTCCCCTGCCTCGGCAGTGGGCCGGCGGTAGCGAGATGGCTTCCCTGGCGTGTGGTGCGTGGCCCTTGGTGCTACTCACGTTAGCACGTGGACTGGCATCTCTGCTTCCTAGCCTACACACAACTCCTCAGGCCCCTGAGCAAGAGGGGGCAGGTGGCACTGCTGCCTCCCTGCTTAGATGTCCCACGTGCAGAGCTGGGGCTCAGAGAGGGGAGACCGAGGCCCGCTGGAGTGACCTGTGGGCTGAGGGACGTCTCCCTTTTTGAGCTGTCAGGTGGGAAGCCTAGACACCCCGGCGTCTGTGCCCTGCGGAAGGCCCATCTTGTCGGGTGCGTGTGGAGCAGTGCCCCTCGGCTTCTAGGGAGAGGTGTGCGTCCTCTTAGCTTCCAAGGACAACTGAGCACAAAGCCTCCGGGCGCAGCAGCGCCCTCCCTGCTGAGGGTGAAGGAGGGTGGCGCGGGTGCAGCGCCTCTCACAGGGGGGTCAGGAGAGCACAGCACTGAGTCTGGGCACACAGCCTCAGCAGCTGTCCGTGAAGGGGGAGTCCCGTGGGAAGTGCTGGCTCCAGGAGGCCTCCAGCCCTCGCGGCCTTCAGGTGACCTGCCGGTGTGACGAGAGGACAGGACATGCTCAGGACACACAGACTGGACACGCGCACACCCCCAGTTCCTTTGTCCCACCCTCACTTTGCAGAGCCATGTCTCCTGCGTGAGCTACCGTGGTGGTGCATGTAGAAATCTGGTGCTCATATCGCCCTTGTTACAGTCGGGGCAGAAACAGCTTGTTTGCTTCTGGTTTCCAGCTGGTGTCACTTGTAGCTTGTGTCACGTTTTCCAGAGTGTGACTCTGGGACCTGTCCCCGGTGTGACAGGAGTTTGCGAGAGTGGCTGTCACCTACTTATTGCAGGTGTTTGGGATGCCCCCTCATGCCTTGGTCTGTGGGTCTGAGCTCCCTGTGGCCTTCTTTCTTCCTCTGCCTACCTGTGAGGACTGGAGGCCATTTTTGCTTGGCCTCCAATTAAGAACTGGACGTAGGACCTCCAGGAATCTGGTACTCTAGCTCTTCTCTGCCTCTGTATTCTTCGTTAGCCTGGGCCTAGAAGCTGGACACAGTCTCTAGTGGTCTACAACTAGGAGACAGTGCAGGACTGTCAGCCACGGCCTCTTTTAAGGGTTCCTTAGGCAGTGGTTCTGAGTCTTGAGTGGCTTTGGAAAATGGTGCTTTGGGGTCCTGCCCATGACCAGCAAATTGTCTTGTGTGTGCGAATGTGTACACGGGTGGTATGCATATATACATATGTGTACATGTGTTCATGCACATGGCATGTGTATATGTATGGGGGTGTGCACACATACACAAGTGGGAGGTGTGTGTGTGTGTGTGTGAGAGAGAGAGAGAGAGAGAGAGGGAAGCCTTTGGGGTGAGGGTAGCCAACATCTGGGTGTGACTGTGCCGTAGAGGCTGTCCTTGAGAATTGGGATGGGAAACATCAAATGGGAGCAGACACCCCGAAATGCTTTATGACTGCCAGGTGGTTTTTGCACTGTGCTCATCAGGTGTGCACAGACCTGACCTGTGCTCCGGCGTGAGAAGTGTGGGCACCAGGACTGTCAGGACAGCTCTGCGGCCGCCTGCAGTCCCCATAGATCTCACCGAAGGATGGTCCTCCCCGTATAGCTGCAGGGCTGGTCGGTTCTCCCCGAACACCGGTCTCTGCTGTTAAAGCATCCTCCCCTCACGGACATTAACGATGTTGTGAATCTTGGGCGGCGTGCAGGTAACCACACTGGATGTCAGCGTGTGTCTTCTTTGTTGTTGCCAGGCTGTTATGCATGGACGGGGCCGAGGACTGGCAGGCCCCCTGTGCCGGGGGCGCCTGATGCCCAATAAGCAGAACCTGCGGGTGGTGGAGTGCAAGCCGCAGCCCTGTGTGGTGTCCGTGGAGGGCTTGTCTTCATCTACCACTGATGCCCAGCTGAAGAGCCTGCTGATGTCCGTGGGGCCCATCCAGGTGGGTCTCTAGTGGTGGTGGTGGGGTGCGGGTGCCAGTTAGCTGCCTCTCATGCCAGTTTCCTGGAGAAGAAAATGCATATTTGTTCACACTTGATTGTAGAATTTTGCTTCAGACTCAAGATCTTAACTATAAGTTTTAAGAACTGAGTAAATGAAACCGAACAGATTTTCCTTGGAAATCCTCATGCTATATGGAGTCCACACATACACATAGACTTTTATGTATTCTGTCATTTTATTCATAATCTCTTCGGTTTTAAAGTAGTTAACCTGGGCTTGGTTCCCTCAAACAGCCTTCCCCCATGAACAGCTGTGAAGCTGGGTTCAGACTGTATAAATGGGACGGTGACTCTGACTGTGTCTCTTGTAAACTGGGCTCATCTACAAGAGTGAGTCAGAAACAAGCACCGTGTCTGCTGTGATCAGGTTTTCTTGGAAGCCCTTGGTTTCTGTTGCGTCTGAGCCCGGAGCCTGCAGCTGACCAAGGGAAGGGGCGTCCTGGCCGCCTCCCCGCGCACAGTGTATCGGGAGCGCAGCTAGTAGAGGTTTAAGATACACAGCAAGACACACAGTAAAAGCTACAGTCAGAGCTGAGTGGTACAGAGTGCTGTCTTTTATCCTGCTTTCTTGCTTCCCAGGTAAACCTAGGGACTGATATAAGTTAGATATAATACGTTTCAGACAGCCACCCACTGAGAGCCCTGAAAGTGAAGAGCGGAAGAGAGCCCTCCAGAACCCTGCCTGATACTTAGATTGTCTAGGTTAATTATGGCTACCTGTATTATGGGATTCTTGGAAACATAGTTAGAATTATTTATTATTTGTATTTAGCTCTGAAAGCGTCACCTTCATTTTGAGAGCAGATTTCTAGTGTGCAGTTAGGAGTGCAGACATCAAGCTTGTGTGGAGGGATAGGTGTTCTTAGGTGTGGCAGAGGGCAGGAGGATCTCACGTTTGAGGGCCAGGTAGGTGGTATAGCCAGACCCTGTCTTTTAGTGATGCAAGATGCTTTGGGTTCTAAGCAGCTGCATGATGTGGATTGGTTTGTAGACACAGTATTGATGGTGGGGCATAGGTATACTTCCAAGGCTATTCTAATTGGAGACCAAACAAACAGTTTAGTTGTGATGTCAGTATGAGAGCCTTGTCCCCTGCTGTGCCCCTTGCTGCTTCCAAAGAGCTGGTGTCTGTAGTGCAGTCTGCCGTGCTTGGGCTCAGGCTCTGGCTCCTGGGGAAGGCCTGATGGTGTGGCTGCCCGTGCGGCCTGCTGGGCCCCACAGTCTGCTCTCTTTCTTGAATATTGTGGTGTAATGGCACGCTTAGCAAGCAGATACTGTTTGCTGCTTCTGGACATGGACTGGGGCTCAGAGCTCCAGGATTATCCGCACCCCATGGAAGCATCTGCCCCGCCTCACCTGTTTTATAAGTTGAATTGTAAACTTAGAGATTATGAAGATCTCGTGCCCCCTGCATCTGCCACTCCCCCCCCCATTCTGAAGAGAACTAGAAATTGTGTTATAAAGAATCTTTAACGGCACCCCTGAAAAATCCTCGCAAAAACAGTGTTACAGTTGACTAATGGCTTGCTTTATGTAGAAGCAGCACCTGAAAAGGAGAGCGTGTTCTGGGTTGTAGAAGGTGCTGTGTTCCAGGCCCCTCCATGGGTTGCGCCTGTGGTGGGTCCTTGTCTTCCTTCCTGGAAGCCAAGTGCTCAGTCTCCGCCAGTCCTCTGTGAGTGGAGTTTATAGATGTTTAGACGTGGTATTTACAAAGTACTTCATTTCTTAATTAAACAGGAGAGGCCCTCCTCAGTGCCGCCCCCGTCAGAGACACTTGAGGGGGTGCTGCCCCTGCCTCCAGGCCTGGGGAGGAAAGCTCAGTCTGTGCTTGGACATGGCGCCACCTAGTGTTTACTCGCTTGGCCACAAGCTTGTAAGCCCTGAGGACTCCTTACAATGCGCTCACAGACCTCTCCAGAGCTAGGAAGAGTAGCAGGATGGTAGGAATTGTGTAGCAGAACATGGACCTGATACTATCCAGACTTTCAGATGGGAGATGGTGCAGTGCACTGAGATGTGCTCCTCAGGGGCAGGGAGAAAGGGTGGAGGTTTAGAGTTCAGGGCCCTACCTGGCAGTCCGTCCCGTTCCCCCCCCCCCCGCCACCACTCCATCCCCCTCCTAGGGTGCAGCCAGGCAGGCTGAGTGAAGAAGCAAGCTCACCGGAACTCCTAGGGTCTTGCTGAAATGGTGTCACTTTTTGCTGGGGTTTGCCTAAAGTTGTGCTAAGAAGAAAAAAATAATTTTTGTCATGCTAAATGAAATTCTGTAATATGAAAACAGAAATTGTTCCTTACAAAAGCAAAAAGGTTGTCTGCACTCGGTGAGCATCATTGTCAGAGTTAGGGAAGGTCAGCCCTGGGTACCCACAGAAAAGTAACTGTCCATCCATGCTCTGTGCCTGACTGTCAGCTCTCTGCATCAGCTTCTTCATCTCCTCCAGCAGGCCATGGCCAGCTCAGTCTTTTGCTGCTATAGTGACCCTCTGAGCACAGCCAGCTAGAGTGCTATAGTGACCCTCTGAGCACAGCCAGCTAGAGTGCCAGAGCGCGGGCTTGGCAGAGAGGCTGGCTGCGGGCTTGGCAGTGCCTGTCTTGTCGTGTGCCATTTGGGCAGATGACGTTCAGGAACTAGGTTGACTGTGTGTATAAAATGGAGATGGGCCTTGGGCTTCCATAGAGTGTGGTTAGATGAGCTTGTGTGCCTGCCCTGTGGTCCTTATGTGAGATGTGCTCAGGGGGCTACAGACAGCACTGCTGGAGAGGGCATTACAGCATGCAAGCAGCGTCCAGCTGGTGATGGATGTAGGCTCACAGTGCTGCCCGAATTCCCTGAAAATCACAACGGGAAATGCACTGCTGAGTGACTATACACTTCCTGCTTTTGTAAGGAAATTACTTTTTTGTTCTTAATTCTGTAGTTTCATGATTGTAGGATAAATCTGTTTTGGAACAGTGTAGGCTCACAGCGTGTAAGTATGTACATTTTACATTGCAGTGTGATATTAAATGTTTCTGTTTCCTTCCTCTAGAGTTTACAGATGCTTCCCCAGCAGCGGAAAGCCATCGCAAAGTTCAAGGAGCCAGCCCATGCGCTAGCATTTCAGCAAAAGTTCCACAGGTAGCCTGTGTTCTAGCTGATGGCGGGAGGGGAGGCGCGGTCTTGGGGTTCAGACCGCTGTTCTAGGGTGCGCAAGTTCCCAGAAAGCTGTGGGCAGCACATATGCTCAGAAGGCCACGGGGAGGAGGGACTCCCATTGCTTTTGCGGATGTGACTTTCCTGGGTGATTTTCGTGGCTCACGCATGGGCCTGCCTTCCTAGGTTTTGCCTGCTGTGTAGATCTAGTATTGACATCTCTCTGAATTCCTGCAGGCACATGGTCGACTTGTCTCACATTAACGTGGCCCTGATTGTAGAGTGATTTCCCCAGTCGGGCCTCACACTGCACACACTGTGGAATTTCCTCCAGGAGGCTGCTGGCCAGCGGGACCCAAGGAGCACAAGTCTCCAGTGCCCAGCCGGCTAACTGTTGTTCGGGACACCAGCCAGCCACAGGGTCATTCCAGAAGATCTGAACTGTGGGGATGTGATGAGCCAAGTCTGGTGTTAGGTTGCTTCCAGTTCTGTTGTCAGAACTCCAGTCCTCCTTTTCTTTTGTTTTCCAAGTGCTTACAGTGCATGTAGACCCTGTTCTTGGTGACCTCCTGTGTGATCGGCCACAGCAACTTAGGTTCAGGAAAGAACGTCACTGGCACATGTTTTGAGTGGTTTCCATAGCAAAGAATACTTGATAATGGTTGCACTTATCTTCAGTGCAGGCTAGAGCAGAGCGTTGTACCAGGCTTAACTGGAGCTGGTTGCTCAGAAAGCCCTGAAAGGCTCTGCTAAAAACGTAAGATAAATTTGGGTGATTTTGGATTGGTGTGGGCACGCCCTGGAAAGCATGGTGTGAGTGGGCGTTGGGGGGGCGCCATGGAAGTGGAAGTGGCCATTCTGCTTCTTGTAAATGTCTCCCACACGCCAGCAGCGCCTTCCAGAGTCCCAGGTGAGCACTCGCAGACAAACCCGGTGCCGCTGGGCCCAGGGCCCTGCACCCCGGACGGGACAGCTCTGCCGCCTCCGGGCGGGCCTCTCGAGGCCCGGCAGCCTGCCTTGCCCAGTTGAGGTGCATTTGGAGGGCGGCAGATCTACTTTGAGTTTTCTTTTAAAGGCAGCCCTGGGTGGCGTGTCTGTGTTGCCCGCCGGGTGATGTGCACAGTCACGGTCACTGCTTTTTTTTTTTTAAACCTTTGTTTTAAGGGCCTTTTGAGGGCCCACCATTCTTCACCAACACAGTAAGAGACATGCTGTCTGTGGGGGCACCATCACCCAGAAAAAGTGGGTCTGTGCTAGTGGTCCTGGGGGGTGCTTGCAGGTCAGATGACTCCGTGTGCTAGAGGACAGCGCGGCACCCACCTGTGCTGCCCGTGGGGGGTGTCCCAGTGAGGGTGCAGTCCAGCAGGGCGTGGCCTCAGCATCACTCACGTGATTTCATAACACACACAGGAGGGGATGGAGGGAGCTAGGAGCCTGTGCCCATTTCCTGTCCCTGGTTCGCCCACCGAGGACCAGCCTGAGCCTCGCAGCTCTCCAGGGCCACCGTAGAGTCCACGGAGGCAGCGTGGACTGACAGCAGCTGCCCCTAGAGCTGGTGCGCTGCCGCGTCCGTCAGCAAGGGCACTACGTTAGGAGATAGGGATCCTCCTCGGGGGCCCTGGGCACCTGGCCCCCTGGGACGTGGCCTGCCACTAATTCTGACTTCCCTGTGCCCGCGGAATTCTGGGGAGCCAGGAAATGTCAGCACTCATGGCATATTCTAGAAAACTGCAGCTCTGCTGTCAGCTCTGTTCTAGAAACCCCTGACTTGCCCCTTGCAGATACAGACGAGGCCGGCTCTGCGTGCCTGTAACAGGCCCGGGCACTAGGCCATTCCGTGTGCTGTCAGGGTGACCTGCTGTCGCTATAGACACAGGCGTGATCCTAGGTGTAAACAGTTTATTTGGCTCAGGTTAAGTGGTTGGGTAGCCATAGGAGCTAGCCCTAGGAGAGCCAGACAACTGCTTACCCACCGGCCTTGGGAAGGCTTAGCAAGGTTCACAGGGTGTCAGATGGCCCGCCCCATCTGCATTTTCTCCCTTGAGAAGTAGGCACTAAAGCATAGGAGTCAGTGTTGAGGGAACAGGTCCCGTTTGGGTTCCATTCTCAAGGATAGACTTTGGAGCTACTCACAGCTTGCTCTTGGCCCATAGCACATGTGCTGTAACTGCGCACAGCAGCAGGCAAGCAGCACGCGGGAGCCAGCCCCCACCCAGTCAGACAGCCTCGGTGCACCCTGCACGGCCACAGGGAGTGGGCTCAGTATACGTGCAGGCTCAGTCTCCCAGCAGGACACCATAGCGAAGGAGAGAAGCAGAATTAGAAAGGAATGCCTTTCCATTTCCCGTGCACTTCCACAGTGAAGTCCAGCCACGCACCTGACCTCGTGGAAGATCTGCTGCAACCATTATCTTTGTTCTTTTTTTTTTTTTATCATGCATTTGAAATGAGATGCAAAAGCATTGGCATATGTAAATACGGACCTTTTAAAATTAAAACGTTACTGGAAATGCTTTCAGCTCAGCAACATCTTAGCTATTTGTTAGTTCTTTTGTGTTGTCTCATCAGAGTTCAATGGAGACACTTCCGTAATTGTTGATGTGTTTGTGTATACATTCAATTTTTATAAAGATGGTAGTAAGTCAATACATTTACCCTCATCTGTGTATTATTTGTTCACAAATTCAAGGAGCTTAAGCAGTAAATATGGCTCTATCTCTGCAGGATCGGCAGGCCACGGTCTGGGGCCAAGTTACTCCCCTCCTTCCTTCTGCATTGTTGATTTGTACTGTAATATGAGTTCACGTAGCTGCTTACTTGGTCATAACCTTGCATGACCCTGGCATGGCCACACTTGTGAACCCTTTTCTCTTCTGGAGGATAAGGCTAAGCTCTTCTTCCCCAAAGAAATTCATAGGTGCCCCTGTGCTCACCAGCTTTCTTCGAAGGTCCTGCCCCCAGCCTCCTCATGCAGGAGTGGGCTGGGCCGGGTCGGGTGTGGGATTCGTTTCCCCATAATTACTTTTAGTCTTGAGTGGGTTCGTAGTGGGATGGGTGAGGGTCCTGAACAGTTGTCTAGGCTGGTATTGGGCACATTTCTGAATTGTTAGAACTTGGGCCCTTTGTTTCCAACAGCCTCTGCCTAATGCTGCAGACAGGCTTGCTGCCCAAGGTCATCAGCAAGGGGCCAGAGGCTGTGGAGGGGAGGGACTGGCGGGAGGGGTCAGTGTGGGTGTCTGCTGTGCGTGCCCTGACTGGGCTTCCAGGGGTGGTTCTGTAGTCAGACCCAGAACCCCAGAGAAACAGGCCCTGGGTGGCTTCCTGGAGAGAGCTCTGTGCTGGGCGTTAGGGCCGGGCTCCACTTACCAAGGCATTTAGGTTAGCTGGCCAGAGGAAGGGGCCTTGTTTGAAGGACTGGGTTTGGGAACCTATCACTTCTCTTTAGAATTCTGTTTTTTTGTTTTGTTTTGTTTCGCCTTTTTGTTTCTCTGTGGTTTTGTTGGGAAGGTAAGCTCGGTGGGCTCATAGGCTGTTAGACAGATGCTGGGTGAAGGGAGGTCTTGTAACCTGGTTGCATGGGCCCTCGGAGGGAGGCCCAGGTGGTGGCTGAGTCTTGTTCTCAGTAAGGCTCTGTGTGCCTGCTCCTGGGCCCCTGGGCCTCTGGGCCTCATGTGGGGCCCGGCTTGTATTTTCCTCCCTCCCTCCTGTGAGTAGAGGGGTGGGAGGAGCACTGAGGAGGGTTGCTGGCTGTGCAGGTGTGCTGAGAGGGAGCTCACTGAGGGTGCCAGGGTAGGGGGACTGAGTCCCCGTGCACAGAGTCTGAGACCAGTCGGGGGGAAACCTTAGATACTGTTTTTAATAAGCATTTCAAGTATTTAACAGTTGTGGGGGGAAAAAAAGGTGTCATTTCCACCTTCTTAAATATGACCCCTAAAGGCGTTTGGCCTTGATTTATCATTAAATCCTAAGGATTTTATGTAAGGTTTTTTGTGACCTATTTAGTTTTTATCTCTTACAATGCCTAGCTTCCTAGGTACATAAGCCCATGGCCTTGTGTACCGGAACCAGAGCAGCCCACCGATTCATATTGGATCTCCAGGTACGCCTCCTGCTGCACACACCGCCGGCGGGCTCTCGCCACACTGGTGCTGTCTTCTCTGGAGACTGCTAAACAGCTCCCTCTTTTGGATGCTGTTGCTAGGAATCCTTTAAGCAAGATGGGCCAGTGGAGCAATGCTTTTAGGGGAGAAAGCTCTCAAGTTCTTGCTTTTCCTTTCTTTCTAACCAGTGGAAGTGGAAAGAGGATTTTACGTCTGTATTCTCCCTGCTTTCGTTTTACTAATTTTGAAAGGTTTGTAGAGAGACGCTTTGTGTAGTTTTCTGGTGTGTTACTTTTTTTAATGTGTTCCACAGACGGGGCAGGAGGGCCGGTGTGGTGCGCATGTGCTCTGTACGTGACGATGTCCTCTGCTGTAGAGAGTAGGCACATGGTTCTTTACTAAACTCCTTTTCATTTAAGGCATGTGCCGTGGGACCTGCGTTGACAGGAACGGAGTGTCGCTCTTCGGAGCTTTCTTCCAGCCCGCCACAGCCGCACACGGTGCTTGGGGCAGAGCCCGCCCGCCCGCCGGTTCTCAACTCAGCTTTGCTTCCTACAGGCCAGGGACCTG